TTGAGCACACAAACCAATGTGCCTCAGAGGAAAATCAATTATAGGAATCAGAGAACATGCAAATAAGAAAATATGGCTAAATCTACAGTTTATTATACATTTGTCCCCATCATTAAAAACACGAAGTTCAATTTTCAGGTCTGAAACCAGTTTGAAAACTGTGAGCCTCAGCTAGACGTGATTAGTTGGTAGAAAGACTTGCATCCTCTCTTGGTGAGACTGAGCCCGCCTGAGTGAAGCCCAGGGTGTCTCAGCAGGAAGGAACACAGCTTCAGGAGTCAGGAGGAGGAGGCCCTAAGACAGGGGATCCCACAGAGTGACAGCTGATTGTTGCCAACCCAGAAAGAACTCAGTGCTTCTGTTTCTCATCTTTTATAAAAGCAAGAAATCTGAATTTTCAATGGGAAATTTCCCAATTAACACAATATCACATGAAAAATTACTGCAGGGGGCTGTAGAAAACACATCTGAGTGGCATATTCAGGTCTCAAGTGGTTGGCTTGTCATCTCCAGTCATTTATTGGAGAGGAACTGAACATGTGATCACCCTTTCAAGGAGACTTATACCTCCGTAAGAGTTCCTAAAGCTTGTTCTTGTCCAAATACAATACTTGAGACAAATCTGTTTCCCCTTAACTCAAGGATTTGTTCAAATTTCCAGGTTTATTTCTAAGTTAATCTTGATTTTACCTTAATATTTACCCTGCATATTATAATTAATGTTTTAGGAATGGTTATGCTCCAGACCAGAAATAGCTCTAGTCCAGGCTTAGACGCTGGATTCCAATTACACCACCACTATGTCTGTAAGTGCCCTGTCTAAATGCTCACATTCCCAGTGCTAACAGCGTGTTTTCCTTCCGTATTGGTTTGTGTGTGTCACAGCACTTGAATGCATGTTGAAGTGTTGTCTTTTCACGTGTCTAAGGCAGAAACTGCAGAGTGTTTGTTTAGTCCATGACCCTAAAGCCAGACCATACGGCATCTTCTTTCCCATTTTCCTTATCCAGTTCAGGTTTCATTATCCTTATTCACTGTCTCAAGCTTTGAAGTGCACACGAATCACCTGGGGATTTTGGTAAAGTTCAGATTCTGATACAGTTGGTCTAGGGTCAGGCCTGAAAGCCTTTTTCTATAAACTCGTAGAATCAGTAAATCAGTCGGGTCCCTATTATTGCTTATTTTTATTTTTTTTTTCTCTTATAGTTCTTGTCCAATTCTTTTCATAAAATATTCCAAACTTGAGCTACATTTTGGGACCCTTCAAACATGTTAAATCACTGCATAGGATGAATCTTTTTCCCAGAAGCAGCAGAAACTACAGTGATCTCAGATGAAAATGTCTTCCTTTAGATATAACTTTCTCTTGCTCTTGTCTTTCACCCAAAGGGACTAGGGGAACAGTTCAGGCCACTGTAATATTACAAATGGAGAGTTTCAGATGAGTTGCCTTGTGTTTTGGCCACTTTTCCACCACTGAAACAAAATATCCATCACATACAACTTAAAAGAGGAAGGCTTTATTTGGCTCAGTTTCCAGTGGGTTCAGTCCCTAGTCAGCTGACTCCAAAATGGAAACCTGTGGGAGAAGGACCTGGAGGAAAACAACTGCTCATACCATGGCATCCAGGAAGCAGAAAGAAAAGGGAGAAGCAGCAAACAAAAACACACCATTCCCATCACGCCCCGCTTGGGGCTCAGCTCCAACCAGCCCAGCCTCCTAACAATACAATTAGCAACTCAACTTATCAATGTATTAGTTCCCTAATGAGTCCAGCAGTGCTCAAATCACCTTCCAAACCCAGGAGAATTCTGGAAAACATTTTAGATCTAAACTGTAACATCTTGCAAACTTTAAAGCGAGAAGTGACCATCTTCCAGTTACTCTTTACTAAGTCTTGTTTACTGCTGAGAACATCAGCAGTGTTAATAGGCTAATAGCAATTTACGGATTTAGGATTTTACTTATTTCCTCCTCATCCAAGAAGGCTGTTGGAAGTTCAAATTTTTGTGAATCAGTAAATATCAGTGCAAAAGAGCTCTCCCTTTCCTTTGAGTTCAGGTCTGGAATTTCCTCTGTGTTGTCAGTTCTTCCAGATCCTTTCTGTTCATTAAAATGTAACTTATCTAACTTAGTTCTTTTTAACAAGTTAACTTGTTCAAACAACCTGGCTTTCCACCCTGAAAAATAAAGTATCTCTATTACACTTACTAAAATCAGCCTTTTCCTCTCATAGGTCACTAGTTCCCTAAAGACAGTGGAGGAGATCTTTCTCATATTCTCTTCTGTACTTAGCATCAGCACACAGCACTTGGGATGGTTGCTATATGGGAGGAGTTTGTCTTGGTGAGCAGAACCAGGAGATCACCCCTCGAAGATGAGTAGACAGGCAAGATGGAGATCCCCAGACTTGCTTCCTGACTGCCTGGACCCAAGTGGGAAGCTGTGAGGGACGGCCATAGTTCTGGCACCAGATGGTTTGTATTTCTTCATGGCACACTTGAGAAAGGACTGAAACATACAAGATGACTAAAAAGAAATGATAATTGTCCCCCAAAAGAGCCTTTCCTCTAAGAAAAATCTCTCAAATAGCTTCCCTTTCAGTATTTTACTATCCATGATTAAAAATAGTCCCTGCTTTCTGCCAAGATTGCAAGAAAATCAATAAAAGGCCATGATTGTCTATCTTGGCATGTCATTTATTAGACTGATACATTTACATTTTTTACATTGATAGGGTTTACTTTTTTTTCTTTGAGGAACTTAGGTTTTAAATTTGTCTTTGGCCCTATGAGATGGATGATGAGAATAAAACGTGTGAAAAATTAAACTTCAGCAATGGTAAGTGTAAATGATTTAAGAGTTATGCTGGAGACTGGCTCATTAATTCACTTTTGCAGTTTAACCATTTGAAAAACAGACCAGCCATGGTGACTGCAGTATGGTGTGGCTGACAGTTTTCAAAGGTTTAGTGCCCTGCAGAGAAGGCCTTTGGAGATCATGAAGCACTGGTATTATAGGCAGGATGCAGACCATCTGCCAACAGTAGTGGCCGATGCCTTCCCCTGAGCAATAGGTTCAAGGGAGCTTCAGGAGGAATTATATAAACCCTTTCCACCTTCCTCAGTAATTAACCTGGGGAATCTAGATAAAATTAACTATCCTCTATATGCCTCTGAAATGACAGAGAACATAATTCCTACCTATGCCTCAAGGAAAAGACATCTAGCCTTATATAGGATATAGATAATGGTAAAGATAATTTCTTATCAAGAAATCTCACAAAATCAGAATAGTATTTTAAAAATATTTTAATGCTTTCATCTCTTTGGCTGCAAGGGATATTTAGACATATAAAGTATTAACATAACTATGATAATGATTTTTGGCGAGCCTGTTTAAGAAAGCATGCACATTTCCAAAGTGCGTGCTTGATGCACTCTCCCACCTTGGAAGTGGCCACCAGAGGCACCACCTCATGGATCTGTTTGGTCTCAGCAGAACTGTCTTTTCCAATCAGAAACTGAAGTCATTTTATTAGAGGGAAAAATGACTGGGTTTGAGATTTATGAGGAACCAAGTTTGAATTCTACTTTGCTATTAACTAGTTAAATGACCTTAAATTTAAATAACTTTTCTGAATCTCTGTAGGATTTTTGTTTGTCAAATTGACAAAAGAGTAGTTAAATGATAACAGTGTTAGAGGATTGATTGAGATAAAATACTTAAGAGGACTTTCATAGCATATTATATTATATGGTTAGACTTATATCATACTAGAATTCTTCTGTCTAAATTAAAACATCCCTTATCTTCCCCCTTATAGGTGTCCTTTATAAAGCAATCAAATGTAGATTTTGTACTGGCTGCATTTTCACCTGAAGACTTCTCAGTGAATATTGAGCCTCATGTCTGTGGTCTGAGCACTCACCATGTGCACTGGGTGCTGAGAGGGCTCCAGGGGCGGCACCAACACTTAGTACCATTTCAGGATCTCAATACCAAAAAAGCTCCAGCAAATAAAACCATCTCATATAGATGAATAATAATATCCTCAAATATTATTTAGAGTAATAGTGGGCATAAAATAAGTGATTGGGTTTTGAGATTGGCCTAAAGAAAGGTATGGGTGAGCAGAGGCCTGGAAACAAGCCAGGCAGGAGGAGGAAGAGCAGAAATCTGAGTAGAAGGGAGATGAGAGGACATGCTTGGGAACAATGAGACACCTAGACTTACCCATCCCGCAAGCTTAAACAAAAGGTGACTATTCTATTAAAGTTAGTTTGCTCTGAAAGGAGTTCCTGCCATCACTTTGCATTAAGAAAACACTGACTACTTTTAATGATCTGCCATCTAATGTATCAACGATCTGCCATCTAATGTATAAACGATCTGCCATCTAGTGTATAAATCTGCCTGAGGAAACCATGTCACCACTTTCCTGTTACTGGAATGGAATACTTGGGACACAACACTTGTAAAGAGAGAAGGCTGACTTGTTCACAGCTGTGAGGCTCCAGGCCATAAACAATAGATCTTGCTGCTTGAAACCTGTGATGAGAAGGCAGAACATCCTGGTGACCACGGACGGAGCAGAGCAGCAATCAGAAACGAGTGATGAGGTTCCAGGGCCCTATAACTCCCGTCTTGGACGCACCCCTGATAGCCTACCACCTTAGTCAATTTCTCACTGCTGGGACAAACTAACACCCACAGCTTAAAGGCGGGGAGGTTTGTTTTGGCTCATGTAGGTATAAACCATAACAACCTCCCACTAGACTCCAACTTTTACAGGTTGTACCTCCTCCCAAAAAGAACCCCCCTGGAGACCAAGCCATTAACATGTGGGCCACTGGAGGATACTCACGATCCAACCGGTAACAGAAGGTGATCTTAGCAGAGGAAGGCAGGATGCCACACACTTGTATTAGTGATCTCGGCCCCTGCTGAGACACGATCCCCAACACACACGTTAAAGGAGGCGCTTATATTGGCTCACCTTTTACAGAGGATCCGGTCGATGGTCAGCTGGCTCCAAGGTGGAAACGGCATGCTGATGGGTGCAGCAGAGCAAAGGTGCTTCCTTCAAGGCACCCGGGAAGAGGAGCAGGGGAACAGTGGCTGCAAGGAGAAGGACAACGGACCGCATGAAGTAGCCAAGTTCACACCCCCACGACTACCTAGACGCATGAGGAGGGTGCTCCGCAATCCCTGGCAGATCCCAGCCAATGAAGCCAAATTCCAACCTCAGCACCACAGCCTGCCTTCTGTGCACTCAGCCTGTGGCCCCCACTACCGTCAGCTCACAGAACCAGCAGAGTGGACCTGCGTGCTCCAGCCTCGTAAGCCTCAGAGGTGCACACACTAGTGTTCCTTTGTACCTGGGAGGTACATGTTTTTATCTGGTGAGGGCTGGTCACAAGGTCACACATGACCGTAAGACAATATGCTCATCAAAAAGAGGATAATGTTGATCTTAGTGAATCCTAAGTATTTTTCCCCTCAATAGAGAATGTAAACAAATAAGTGGTCCAGATCATATTTGTTTATTTGTTTTATTAAACATGACATTCTTATGTGTCCAAAAAGCCCTCTAGATTTAGTTTTGCAGATTTGTGTAAGCATTCATGTTAATATTTTCAGTAAGAAGCTCTAATCTTTGCAAATTCCTCTCTTCAACATTCTACAATGAAGTGGTTAATCTCTCCTCTCCTTTAGTCTGCAGGACTTCTCAGGCTCCATCACGCACTTTACAAATCGCAGTGTCCAGAATTGTACACAGCATTCCAAATGCAGACACACTGCTCTTTTGAAGGAAGTAAATCAGTACTTCCTACCTTTTCTCAAAAATAATTTCTGGTGATGGTATCTACATTGCTAATGCTTTGAATACAGCTTCACAACAAAGTCTGAAGTGAGCCCTATATGCCTTGGTCTTGTAATCCTGATGTGGAAATTTGCTCTCCTTTAAAAGCACTGGTTTTCAACCTAAGCTATACAAGTTTTAAAAATGGAGATGCTATCTTTATTCCTCAAGATTCTGAATTAAATTTTCTGACACAAGGTTCAGGTATTAATATTTTAAAAAATATCTGTACATTTATGTAATGTCCTGTTGGGATTTTAAGCACTGTCATACAGCTAAATTTGTGGATTTCCCCAATTTTATCCTATGTATTCATATTGAAATTTATTTAATTTTTCCTGTTTGCAGATAGACTTATATAAGATTAAAACCTCCCAACATTTTCCCTCATTATGAGATTATGGAGTTGGTACAAGGGAAAACTATGGGGGCCTCTGTACCCCATAACAAATCTTGCATTTCAGCACATACTATAAAACAAGTGGAAACACAGGTGTTTGAGGTCCATTGTCCTCTTTCCTGTGTATGAACACAACATCTACATGGCTGTGTTGCTCATGTGTATCAATTTGGATAAAAAGATCCTGAATTTTTTCACTCCCCTCACCCTCTACCTCTACTCTCCCTCAAAAAATCCACTCATATGTTAGAGTTCTTCAGAGAATCAGAACCCATAGGTCTGGCATGCTATACATTGTAAGAAATTAGCTCACACACAATTTTGTGGCTGAGAAGTCCTATGATGTCTGTTCTGTGAGCTACAGACCCAAGAGAGCTATTGATATAATTCAACCCTAGAGGCAAAAGAAGACCAAAGATCTAGCTGAAGCTGGCAGGCAAAAAGGTTTTGACCTCTAGCTTGCTCTTTGTGTTCTGTTTAGTCCTTCAGTGGATATGGGATATAACTCATATTGGGAAGGATGATCTCCTTAGAAAATTCATTGATTTAAACACTAATTTCACCCAGAAACACCCTCACAGATACATTCAGAGATATGTTTGAGAATCTGAGAACTATTTGACCTATGCAATTTGACACATTAAGCTTTCAAAAGCCTACATGACCCTAGTAATGTAGACTTTCTGGGCACTTTGATAAGAAGAAAAAAGAAAGCTGAATTTTATACTTTATATTCAATATAAAGTACCTAGAGACCTCATTTATGAGCACTGGAGGTAGCATTCCCTTGTAGATTTATCTAATTTTGATCTCCAATCTATACCACTCTCAAAATATGCTGTTCTCTTTTATTCTCCAGGGAAATTCTTATATAAACCCAAGGTGGCATTTCTCAAAATACCTGAATTGCGAGTCAATGCCAGCCTTGATAAAATGGAGTAACCTCTAGCTGATGCCATTTCAACTCTTCTAGAATTTAATGTGAGTACCAGTGATGCTACTGGCTATCACACAATGTACAAAATGTCATCGTTACTACACAAAGCGCACACACATTTTTGAGCCTCTGACGCCACTGTTTCATCCAGGGATCTACAAACCTGTCGTCTAGTCAGGAATCTTCTGCGGACCTTGTCTCAGTTACTTTTCTCATGGTTTATTTGGAGGTTTCAGACACAGTTGGCTCCATGGCAGGACAGCAAGGCAGAGGGGCACGGCAGAGGAGAAACAGTCCACAGAGGAAAGCAGGGAGCGGTGGGCAGCAACGGACAGCCTCCCCTCCCCTTTGATGCCACACAGCTTATAAGCCTGGGGGGGTGCCCCACACCCACAGCAAACCTTCAATAAATCATTCGCTACACTCAGAGAGCTACACTAATTCCAATCAGTGATCTAATTTAGTACCTCAGACCTTAGTCATGGTATGACACACACTGCAGCGAGCCATCTCTGAAAACCTTACATATGAGAACATGAGGCTTTGGGGGAACACCTAGCTAGAAGCCATGACAGATCTCAAGTGTCATTCTCCTCTGCAAGTAGTTTCTCAGATAAATGCAAACATATATCTGGGAGAAATCCCCAGGAGTAAGATTTTTGTTTCTTTGTATCACTTTACACTTGGATAGTATTATATCATTTAAAAGTTAACTAAATGTTTTCATGGAACAAGCATGTAAAAAGTGAAGCATTAGATATACAATTAACTAATTATATTATATATATTATATAATTAACTAACTATAACTAACTATAACGATAATTAACTAAAACCTCAGGCGAGGTGATCTAAAATAATAACTACTTATTGTCATTCTCTGGGCATCAACATCACCATCATCATCTTTTGTGATACTCTGGGTCATATATCTGCGGTTCTAACCTGGTTTATTGATGTGACTATTCATGGAATCTCAGCTGGGCCAGGGTGCTGTAAGGGGGGCAGTTCCAGTCAAGGGGCGAAGCTCTACCTTCTGGTGGAAGTGTGGACCCCCCCTGTAAAAAGCAGCAAACATGAGGACTTGTGATTCACTGGGCCAGCACTGCAGCAAAGTGTGTTCACATGTGTGTTCATTTCTCTAATTATCACAACCCCTGAGAGAGGTAGCAGTATTATTTTCTATATTTTCACATTTGATCAATCTCCAGTATGTGAAAAGTCAATGATATAACCAGCCAAATTGTTATAAGATGGCAGAACTAAGATTAAAATTAGGCACTGTCAATCAAAAATCATGATGGAAATGACAATGTACACACATCCCATTTTATAAAACTGGGTTCTAAAGCTCAATGTGGTAGATAAATAATTTTCAATCATCTATGTTTTAACATTTAATAATATTTTTATTAATTTTTTTCAGTTTATAAAATAAATATTTTAAAGCACAAAAATTTTTAGGACTTATTATTTTGTGTCTCTATCTTAGGAACAGATTTTAAACACTTTCTCACTTTAAATGCTTTCCAAGAAAAAAGTGACTTTCTTCTTTATTCAAGTTACAGAGTCATTTGGAATGTGTACAAAAGGAAAGAAAAGTGGTATTTCAAATCTCAGTATTGAAAAAATGCATTTACCAAACTTATCTCTGAAACATTTTTCAAGATTTTTGCCTCAAAATTGAGAAGCCCATTCATGATCAACTGCGATCTCACTGCACTTCCTCCACCCTAGTTATACGTCCCACTTTAAAGTGCAGCCAGCAGAAATGGCTGAGAGGAGCAATTCCAAGTAGCAACCACCACAGAACATGCAGAGCTAGACCTTCAGCCTCTGCGGGCGCTCACTTCACTACGTGCATATAATTTTTGCTCACCTCTGTTAGACCAGAAACATTTTAGGAAAGACAGGTATATGAGCTTATGTAAAACTGACAAGCTGTGCTGTCTATATTTCTATAGACCTGGATTTTATAGATCCATATGTGTACAAATACTTACATACATCTAAGCAGGAGGAATAAGAACAGCTTGCCCTGTATCAACCATCACATCATATGCAAACCCTGTTACAGTATTATACTGCCATTTTTTTCCTCTTTTTTAAAGAAATGTGATAGGGAATTTGTTACAAAAGGTAACATTTGCATTTTCTACTACACAGGTGGCATTATTTTGTGGTTATTTAAATATTAATGATTAGTGGTAAGTACTGATATTTCTGCACTATAAAGAAACCATACATTCACTTGGGAATAATGGAAATCACAAAAATTTTAAAAAGTACAAGCAGCCTTTGTTCTCCCTCTGAAGACATATGGCTGGCCTTTGTTTGCTGATTGGCACAGTCTTTTCTTCCTGGAGTTTTTTTCTGTGTACTTTGCTGGATTAATTTTTATTTTATTTTTTCCATATGGTCTTGGCATCGTCTCCTTACTGGAACACAGGGTCTGACATCTGTAACTTAATGTAGCAGAGGTTTGGCTCAAGTTTCAGGCCCTGGTCACTCAGCTGTAGGGAGAAAGTCACAAGGGTAGAGGGTCTGGAGGTGGAATGTTTGTTCACCTTCTGTGGATGGGAAGTTGGAGGGAGGAGCTAGGGAAGGAGACAGATCCTTTCAACTCACGAACCTCCTCTGACCTCTGACAGCAAATCAGCGAAACCACCCCCATAACTCAATCATCTTCTAAAAGTGTGTCTATGAGAACACGTGGCCTTTGGGAGATCTCTATCTGAACTGAAACTCATACTTATGATTAGATAACTTTATGAAAATTTACCGCGTTTTCAAATGAATCCTTGTGAAATTTTCTTGTTATGAACTTTTCAAATGTGTTAGGAAACTATTTTTATAGAACACTATCACACAGTTGCCTAGTTTTCCATTATTCTATACTGATAGAGTAATGAATATTTTAATTTATTATCAGTAAATATGACTGAACACCTTTTCGCATTTTTGTCACCAAAATGATTATTTTGATGTATTTCCTGAAATGCACTGCAGATGAACATTTTCTTGAGCATTATTGATAATACTGACAAATACTGTCTAGAGATTCTTACTGTATTTGGATTTCAAATTTATGTTACAAAAGGACCTGTCTTACTAGCATTATCATCACTTAAATGTTATAGTAGAACACCACGGACATACACTAACTAAGCAAATTCTTAGTTTACTCCTTTCTATTAGAATTTAATGTATATATTTTTATTGTTAAATAGGCAAATAGAAGATATACGAAAATAACTTAATTGTGCATATACAAATGTGGTGAGATCACACAATTTCAATATTTTAAAGCTATTTTAATTATAACTGCAAAATCCTTAGGTATTTCATAACTTTTGATTTCATGTTATGTCAAATTGTATCTGCAAGGATGTAAGTAGACTGCAAGGACATAAGTAGAATGTTCTAAAATATTATTCTCTAGTTGTTTAGTTGTTAGCCATCACATTAACATTGTGTGATGGTTAAGTGCAATCATGCCAACTTCATTGACTTGGCAACTGCCTAGGGGATTGTTAAGCATGCATCTGTCTGTGTCTGACTGAGCCATGGAGGATGGCCTTAGAGTCTGTGTCTGTGCCTGGCCTCTTCCTCTCAGGCACTGTCCTGCTCTGCTCCTCATCTGCCATGACCTAAGCTTCCACCATACTCAACATCTCTGATGCTTCTGCCTTCTGATACCAGCTCAACTTGGACTCAATCTTGTGAAACAATGAGCCAAAATAAACCTTTCCTCTTTCAGTTGTGGACGTTGGGAATTGCATTCCAATAATGGAAATCTGCCTAATACAATTGGCTATTGTGTACAAATTAGAAACTACCTGGGAAAGTGAGACAAGAAATAAATGAAAGAAGATCTTTGGTTTTCTGGAATTTCACTGTCAATGGATGTAAGGATGGATCGCTGGAGGTTTTTACAACTTGATTCCTTCATGGTCCATCCATTAGCCAGAGTGAATCAAAGCTAAAGGATCAGCTTGTTCAATTAAAAGTAAAACAAAATGAAGTCACTAGAGTAATTAAAGAACAAAGAGCAGCAAATATTTTGAATATAGCATTTGAGGTTTGTTATGCAGTTTAATTACATTTTTTCTGGGAAAACAAGGAGAAATTTGACTGTGGCACTTGACTCCTTCTTCATCCTTGTATTTTATGGGTGGAGAATTCGCACATAAGAAATGCATCTGGACAATATTCCAAGTACAAGCAAACTTAACCCCACACAGATGACTGGGGGGGGGGAACACCACTATTTAGAAGTCAGGGTTACAAACACCCTAAAGGCAAAATAATTTTAAAAGGTTAACAACCACAATATTTCCCAAGGGCCATCATCCTCCTATCTCTTGTTTCACTGTCCATTTATTTTTCCCACTGTACAATTCTTTCCATTTTCTGATGATGTTTTCTTCTGGGGGAGAGGAGGAGAGGAGAAAGCAAATGCACATCTTTGTGAAGTGGACTATGCAATATTTTATTCCAAATTGTAACTTTTTCTAAATCCCTTAGCCTACTGCACACATTATCATTTATTTCTCTATTACTTTCTTAGCTCTTTTCCATCCACAGTGGAAGATAGCAAGAAATTAATAATATGTCCTCTCAGCTTAATCACTGTACAAAGGATACAGTTTGAAATGGTATTCACCAATTTTTGAAGCTTTTTGTTTGAGAATGTGGATACACACAAAATCTACAATTGTATGTTTTTCTTCACATCCGCCTGTGACTATTACTGATTCCCAAGTGCCTGGACCATGGACCAGGACACATTTGGATTATGATTCACAATGGTGTATCTTATTGTGCCCTTTGAAACACGGCACATTTACCTCCAAATGTGACCATCAGAATTTCAGGGTGCCCAATTCTGACTTATTTGTATGAAGTGAGACTCTTATTGCCACGAATAACATCTTTGGAAATCACATTTCCTTATGGCATCAGAGAATCAAAGTTTACTCAAGGCTTGTAGTTTTTGAAGCAATTTTGTCTGATGAGTAGCCATCTTTAAAATTAGAAAATATAGCAACAAATTGTTACACCTGCTATTTTCAAGTTTTAAAACAAGTGGAAGGCACAATATCTAATATATAATGCTTATTGCAAAAACTCAGAAACTTACTTTCTGAGCAACTTATTTTTGTTTATTTGCATCCAATTATTAGCTTTTGAGATAGTTAATGTCAACATTATATTCACGGCAAAAGAACAAGTAAAATTGGGGTTACAGATCCAGTGCTGAGCTCCAATAACTCTAAAACAAAAAGCAGCCTTGCGATTGGGGAAGCTGGGCAGGTGCGGCGGGGAGACTGGCAGAAAGGGTGAGGATGAAATCACGTCTTCAAAGCACTTGAGGTCTTGTTACTAAGCGGATTTTCCGCGGTTCTGGGTGGGTCCCCTTAGGTAAGTAACAACAAGGCCCACTCCTCCAGACCCTCCGTGGTGCAAGGATGCCGGCGCATGCTAAACACAATCCTTTCCAGCTAACTGGTCTGGTGGAGTGCTAATGCCAACAGTCACACTGAGCTGCTTTCGGGAAGCATGCCCCAAGGTGTGCGGGTCTTTCTTTTCTTTTTCCTTTCTCTCTCTCTCTCTCTCTTTCTTCCTTCCTTTCTTTTTTTTTTTTTTTTTTTTTTTTGCAGTCACCCGAGCCCTTTCCTGCGATTTCTTAACCTCCAACTCTAAGAAAAAGCAGGACCTAGAAATAAACTACCCGTCCTAGGCTCTGAGGCTGAATCGCCCACCCCTCATCTCCTGCGCCTTCCCGTTCCCCTCCAAATCTGTGAGCTAGACTGGAGTTGAGATCTCCTCAACCACGGCCCGCGCCGGCTCCTTTAACTCCGCACTGGGCATGGAGAAGATGCTGAGCTGCGCGGGGCGGGAGGAAGGGCGAGGGTCGCGGGAAGGGCGTGGGTCGCGGACAGCACCTGTTCGAGACTCGCAGGCGCAACGTGAGGGCCGACGAAGGACAAGGGGCCAGGGCATCACCTGTCCCGAGGCGCAAGCGCAACGCGAGGGCCGACGGGAGGCGGGGCGCGGGCATCACCTGTTCCGAGGCGCACGCGCAACGCGAGGGCTGACGGGAGGCGGGGCGCGGACATCACCTGTTCTGGTATGCGCACGCGCAGCGCGAGCCGGCGGGGGGCGGGGCGCGGCGGCGGGCGTCTGTCAGAGCTGCTGTCGCCGGCCGGGGTGCTGAGGCGGCGTCGCGGCGCCTTGAGGCGGGCGCTGTCCAACATGGAGGCGGCGCCGGCCGAGCGGCACTGAGGCGGCGCTCGGGCCCCGCGCCGAGCGCACCCTGCAGAGGAGCCATGGGCAACGAGGCGAGCCTAGAGGGCGACGTCCCAGCCGGCGTGGACGCGGACCTGAGCCGGCTGAGCGCCGAGGAGCGGAGCCAGATCGCCGCCGTGCTGTCGCGGGCGCAGGCGCTGCCGCCGGGCGCCGCGGAGCCGCCGTCGCCGCACAGGCAGGGCGCGGGGGGCGCGGGGGGCGCGGGGCGCGGGGGGCGCGGGGCGCGGGCGGAGGGAGGCGGCGGGGCGGGGTCCCCTGGCCGGGCGCTGCGTGTCCGCGCCTCACGACGGCGGGCCCGGACGCCCTGCCCACCTTGGCCGCCCGTGTCACCCTGGACACCCCGCACACCCCGACCGCCCCGACCACCCTGGTCACCCGGCCGGGCTGGGTGTGCGCGAAGGCGGTGCGCGGCTCTGCGACCCGAGCCTCCGAGTGTGCAGGCGGGAAGCAGGCGGCTCGGTGCAGCCGGCGGGCGCTGTTCGTGCCGTGGACGTGCTGTTCTGTAGCCACTGCTCTTTTTTTCTTACTGCAAAAGTGACTTTAGGTTTTGAAGAATATGCTGATTTGCATTACCAAAGAATTAGTATTCAGTACACATCTCTAAAAACAAAAATACATGACACTTTGCAAGGCAGTCGTGAGAGCTAATTTGTAATATGAATGCACTCACCCCCTGCCTAACTTTCCGTCCCCTTCCATCCCCATAAATGAGCTTTTTCCCGGTGAAGCACTGAGAGGCAGTCATCACTGTATGTGCCCAGCCTTTCACTTCCTTTAACTTTCAGCCCTCAGCAGAGAGCAGCCTTCCTCCCTGGTGTGAAACCACTTCTTTAAGACAACGGAGGGGAAATCTACAGTTTCCATTTGAGACATTGGAAATAGGAAAGATGTGGTCCTCTACTTCATAAAATAAAGACATTTTGACCTAGTCACTATTAGGATTAAATAATTAAATATAATACAGTACTGAATATACGACAAATTAAAAAATTAAAGACTGTTGACAGTTTTTCTATAGGACAAATTAAAAATTTTAAGATTGGTGACTGTTTCCATATATTTTAGATGTCGAATACTTGCAATAAAAGTGCTATTAATCATAATATACCATTAGAGAAACAAAGCCCCATTATATTTAAATATGGTGATGTTTTAAAGCTGTTAATATATTGAACTGTTCCTTTAATCTGTTTCTTACCTATTAGTAAAGATAATGGTTTATGATAATATGTATGTACTGTTTTTAATCTATTTGATGAAAACTCGACATGGAAAAATTGTAATGACCACTTACCTTCTTTTCATAGGATAATAACAAGCTCTAGTATTTTTACTACCCATTAAGAAATGCATGCTAGATTTTAGATAATTTTTCCAAAAGACACATGCAACAGGTCTAACATGCTGGTTGCAAATATTGCAAAAAGTGTGCTAACTTTTCTTTTGTTCAGAGGCTGAGTGAAAAATACTATTTCAGCACATAAAATTTCGACTTTATATAGCATCAGTTAGTATACTTTAATACGATGTGTACTCTAAAGCTAGTAATTTTGTTATGATACAATTATTATTAATATCTAACCTCTGTTTTAAACAGCTTTTAGTAAAGACACCCTTCATATCCTCAAATAAAATTGGGTCTGAGTTTTGCAGCATGTTTGTGTTTTACTGACAGATTGTTATGAAAGGTACATAGTACCCTATGCATGATAATTAGGGAAACATTTGGTCCTTCCTTTAGATTTTCAGAATAATGTCCATTTATACACATAAATGTGTGTGTGTGTGTGTGTGTGTGTGTGTATATATATATATATACATATATGTGTGTGTGTGTGTGTGTGTGTGTGTGTGTGTGTGTGTGTTTGAACTTTTGAGTGCTTAGCAGCGCTAATTCGACATGGTGGGGTTTACCTTCGATTTTTAAGAAATTAAGATTGGCAGCTTGAAGACCTGCATTCTTATTGTGTTGACTATAACTAACTCATAAGCAATTTCCGCACACCTCTCCAACCAAATAAGGCTAATCATACCTGTCTTAAAATTTGTGAGAATTAAAAATTGGCAGTAAAGGGTTTGTTGGATTTTTAATTTAAAGAAACCCTACAAAGAATGGTAGCAGTGGGAGATAGTCCTTTGGCCACAGACAAATTGTAAATTGGAGTGCATGTTACTATGAATTATTTTGATACATTTCTATTCCTTTACATATGGGTAAGTCATTGCAATGGGGGAGAAATACCGCGGTGTATAACCCAACTAGGAGCCAGATTGCCAGGTTTCTGTGACTAAGTAGCTTTATGACTTTGAATAAGTCTGTTAGCTATAAATTCTGGTGTTCTTTATAGCATGAAAATGACTAGATCTTCCTAAGGTTGCTTATATTTCTAGTATCATAGAATTTCACATGACTCGGCACTCTCAAAGTGTCATATTTATAACTCCAGTGACCTTTACATTCCTGTATTTACTTATATGTTGACCTCATTTTAGCTGAATATTTTTCCTGCTAATTTATGAAAGAACAGGTCCAAGCTGGAGAAGCAGCAGTAAGATAGAGAGGATGTAGTATGAAGCTTGAGTAGCTACAGGCTAAAAGATGTGCTGCCGATGAAGTGCGCGTGCATTGTGCGTTCACTGTCGACCCAGGGAAGAGCGGTTTTGTTGCTTCTGTGCATTCTGTTTACAGCTAGAGAGGTGTCATGTGAGAAATGCTTACTGGAAAACTTTCCTGGTAAAATAGTTGAGTTGGGACCTGGCAAAGTTGGCTATTTCCTGTCATGCCCCTTGGGACTCCCCCACTGAGCAACCACCCTTACAACTGCTTTTTCCCCAGAGCCACGAGCCAAGCCTCCATTCTTAAATGAATATGGGATGTATCCATGCAGATTGTAAAAGGTCTTTAGAAGAAACTGAAGGGAAAGAGATCCAAGAAACATGAGTAAAACAAAAACCTGAGGTGTTCATTCATGGGTTTGCTCCTTGTTAACCATCCATTTATTCATTAATTCATCAAACATTAATGCTCACATACTACTTGCCAGGCTAGGGTCTAGTAGCAAAAAGGTGTGCTAAATGTGTTCTCTCTCAAGGAGTTCGCCATCCTGTATGTAAGGCACAGTTTATGTATCAGTTTTCTTTTTACAGAGAAACTGTTACACCAAACAAAATTCATGATAAGCAGAGAGGCAGTTAACTAAGGCACCTACCTTTACATTAAGCTGATACCATCTCTTAATGGTTTATATTCTATGTCCCATGCGCTGATCTTGGTGTTTGTTTATATCATTGTAGCAACTTAGTTTAAATTGTGGGTCAGCCTTGATGGCTATCTAGGTCTTATCTGATAGGGTAATTCTGCAGCATAGTATAACTCAATGTTTGTGGGAAGTATAGATAGTTAGAAGTTGTGGTGTAAGCATCTTGCTTTCAGTTTTGGTATTTACTGATATCATGGATATTTAGCATTCATGAAGTTCATTTTTTTGTTTTGCACGTGTGTTGGAATAAATGAAATAATGTTACAAGAATATAAATGAAATGTTAAAATTTTAAGTTTGATAATATTTTAGAAGAGAATAATTTCATAAATTCAAAACATATTTGTTGTATTCTATTTAAAGACAAGTTTATGGGATCATGCATAAGAATCTAATTCAGTAAAATGCCTTCATAATTACTCGCAAGATAGTCACTTCTAAATCCCTTCCTTGGAATTCTACATTACATTAATTGAATGAAAAAATTTCTAGAATAATGTAAAAATCTGAACAATATACCTCTTTGAAAATATTTTTATTTTATTTTATTTTCTTCATATAAAAAGACAGCATATAATTATTCCCTATAAGGAAATATTCAAAATGATTTTCCTACACATGGAAGTGTGTATTTTCTTAAAAACAGGTACTATATTGGAGAACTATTAGAATTAGCTAGATAAATACTTTTAGTTCCTAGTTTAAGTGAAGATTTCATAGACACACCAAAATGTTTATGTTTAGTAATCCTTTTCCTAGAGGAAATTGCCCCAGCTAATAATCTACTTCTTTTTTGGGGCAGAGCTTGCTGTGTGATAGAACTTTGAATTTCACCTACTAGGTAAGCCCTTACTACTAAACTACCTTATCAGCACTATTAACTGATTTTTAATAAAAACATCACTTTGTGCATACACTGCATTTATAGATTATTTTTTTATCCTGAGTCTTTGCTTTTTGTAAATATTATTTCTCTCCTTTCTGTTGTCTTATATCTTGATCTTATTCAAATCTCTACATCATTAAAAAAGTACTGAAAAATATAATGTTATTGAAACGTACAAAAATAAAAATGTATTCCAACCCATTAGCAGGTAAATTTTGACAGAATTAATACCTGTGGAAGTTTATTGTGATCATTTCACCTTTTATGTGCCATGGTTTCTCTATTCTGTTTTCATTAAAGAGAAACATATCTTTTCCCAAATTAAAAAGTGAGATGTGTCAAACAAAATATGTATCTGATTATATAATGACAATGTGGAATATTCTTTAGTTGTAAGTTTATTGGCAAAGAATACTTTATTTTAAAAATTAATGTACTTACTATGACTTTTGGCTAAATATTTGGATAGCATAATAAATACCTACTTTAATTATATAGCCATAGTCATCTAGAATTGATCACATTTCTGAAGCTATTTAAAAAACAACTATCTCGAATATTTGTTTTTGAATTAAAAGAAATACTGAAAATCACTGTCACTTCTTTGTGTCAACATCAACAAAAATAAAGAGAATTACCCATGATATGTAATTGGCAACAAGAAGTGGTGTTGCACACACTGAGTAAGGAGGTTCCTCTGAGGATGGCCACACTCCCCTCTACAAAGGGAGCTCACAACTGGCATGTTACTGTCTGGATATCAGGCTGTATCTCAGGATACACTGAACATGTATCGTTAACTTTGGGTTGAAATTTTAGGTGAAAACTTGGCTGTTAGGAAAAATAAAAAACATTAGATTTGTACAAGGAAGATTCTCAAGAGTGTCTAAGTAATGAAAGTAGTGATCCTTACTTAGTGAAGTTTAATAAAGGTAGTATTTGATGGGTATTATCGTTCTAGATAGCATAGAGCAGACGAGTAGATTCTTGCTGGGAAAGCAGTTTCACCTCCATTACCATGCTCATGCCTTATTGTGCGCCTTATGTAGTCTATGTAACTTCTCAAAATCAAGTAAAAAAATTGCAGTAATCTCTTTCATTTTGAAACAAATATTTTTACTTTTCAGTGCTGCTAGTGTTTAGGAGACTTTTGCTAACCATAATTTTAATTTTAAAAAGTACACTTAGTGACCATATTTGTACTGAAATACGGCATTGCATTGATTTATTGAGGTTTTAAGTTAAAACTATATTTAGCTAAGTTTTAAGTGTAATGAGATTTTATTAAACATATGTAAATTATTTTTATTCTAAGACTGTATATTTTAATTTCACCATCCCTGATAAGTAAAGTGGTAACTCGGCTCATAACTTCATTTGCTCCATGAGTTTGGAAAAGTTGGCCACGTGTGTGTCTATGTGGGAAAGATGGCCATAGTTATATAAGTTTGTTTATCACTTAAAGTAGAGTTTGCAGACAAAAACAACATTTTGCCAAGTACTTTTGTTTGCAAACCAAATTGTTTGCAAATAAAAATGTTTGTGAACTTATGTATCCCTGTATTTTGTTTTTCTTTTCTTCACCTCCTTGTTCAAAATTTCTTCCTCTATAAAAAAAAATAACAAAGACAGTAAAAGTTTCCTGATAGCATTCTATAAAATTGCTTCTACTCATATTTACACACGTAATTTTGAGAACGTAAGAAAACAATTCTTTTTATATTTGATTTGAAGTAATTTCCACCATTTCACATTTTTTTTTTCAACTCTTTCAGGAAGCAAGAGTTGGATATTAGTCACCCTACAAAGCAACCTGGGAAACCTCCAGACCCTGGGCGTTCAGTTCAACCTGGTCTTAGTAAGAGCAGAACCACAGACACTTTTAGGTTGGAACAGAAATTGCCTGGAAGGAGCCCTTCCACTATTAGTTTGAAAGAATCAAGGTCTAGAACTGATTTCAAGGAAGAGCACAAGTCTGGTATGATGCCTGGTTTCCTCTCAGAAGTTAATCCTTTAAGTGCTGTCTCCTCTGTTGTAAATAAATTCAACCCTTTTGATTTGATATCAGACTCTGAGGCATCCCAGGAAGAAACCACCAAGAAACAAAGAACAGCTCAGAAGGATGAAGGAAAACCTGAGGAATTCACAAAATCTCCATCACAGCAGTCACCCAAGCCAGTTCCTAAGCAGCAAGGACCTGCTAAGGACCCCATTCAGCAAGAGAGCTCTCCCAAACCCGCATCTTCTCAGCAAGCTGAGAAAGGTAAATCACAGCCTCCTGCAACAGGAAAGGCAGTTCAGGGGCCTGTGCCACCGCCTCAGACAGACCCAGCGAAGTTGCCACTTCAGCGTGATGCAGCCAAGCCTCCAACTAAGAAGCCAGACCCAGGACAGGGAGAGGCTGTTAAAACCTCACAGCAGAGCTCGTCCAAACCACCCCTGCAGCAGGCAGGTGCTGGAAAACCTGCAGCCCAGCAGCCTGGACCTGGGAAACCACAGCCTGGGCCTGCAAAGCCTGCAGTCCAGCAGCCAGGGCAAGCAAAGGCCCTAGGACCACAGCCAGGGTCAGTGAAGTCCCCAGCACAGCAGCCGGGGACCCCAAAACCCACTGCCCAACAGCCTATATCCCAGTCTCCAGCTAAGACACCTGGGCCTACAAAGCCTCCTGCTCTGCAGCCAGGCTCAGCAAAGCCCCAAGCTCAGCAGCCCAGCCCGGCAAAGCCCCAAGCTCAGCAGCCCGGTCCAGGAAAGCTCTCAGCTCAACAGCCTGGCCTAGCAAAGCCCCTGGCTCAGCAGCTGGCTGCAGCAAAACCCTTAGCTCAGCAACCTTCAAAACCAGTACCTGGGAAACCACCACAGCTACCACCAGCTTCTCCATCTGTAACTCAGATTCCAGTACAAGGTCCCTCTAAAGCCATCTGTCCTCTTTGCAACACCACCGAACTTCTGTTGCATGTTCCAGAAAAGGCCAATTTTAACACATGCACTGAGTGTCAAACCACTGTCTGTAGCCTCTGTGGTTTTAATCCCAACCCTCATTTAACTGAGGTGAGTGCATTTACCCACATCTTAGGCTCGTGTCCACCTTGCATATGTGGTGCTCAATTTGGTACTGATAGGATGGGCTTGTCTTTCTCTGCTTCCTTCTCCTTTCTTCTCTCCCTCCCTCCTTTGTTCCCTCCCTCTTTCCTTCCTGTTTTCCTTTTTCTTCTTCTCTGTCAATTGTAAGTTGGTATTTTATATTTTCTTCAATGATAAACCCAAAATATTGCCATAGTTTGGCATTAAAAACAAGTATGAGTTGACTGAAAGATGCTGAGCGCCTACTCAAGTCTGTGTAAAGTCTATGTAATTATTTAGTGTACTGTGATACTGCTTTAACTTTGAAGTTGATGCTGCTACCTATTAAATTTTGGTATTAGCTAGGATTACATCTGTGTTACAGTGTTAATATAAAATTGGGACTTTTTCAATTTGTGTCTGCCCTTCTTAGTACGTGATTCTAATACGCTCAGAGGGCAAGTGTCCCTTATTAGTCGAGAGCCATGTACAGCAGTATGATCAGCCCCAGAGGGAAGGCCTTAGAGCAGGCTCAGCATTGCTAGGGTCCTCTCAGAAGATCACCCAATGCCTAGACCAGGCTTCCTCGCCATCAAATCACACAAGGAGCAGCAGTGACCTGGGCGAGGGCAGAGCCATTTACGGAGGTTGAAGATGGAAAGGTAATTTTCAGCCAGTTAATATTAACTCAGCACCCACAGGCCTAGAATAAAGTAGTGTTTGAATGGATAGAGGTTTGGATGCATTCTAGAGCAAATGGACCAAAGAACCCCCACAAAATGGCAGAAAAACTGGGAAATTCTCTGGGGTTAACTGGCACTGAAGCTGAGAAAATGCTGTCAATAAGTGAGGGTGAAGAGGTGTAGGCTGTAAGGGAGTGTGAGTTCATCTTGAAAAGTGATCTAATAGCCCCACTCAGCGAAGGCACAGTTGTCCATCTGGAGGACAGCTGTTCATGGGCCATCTGAGCGTGATGTCTCTGGACAGCCCAGCAAGTAACTGACAGCAGGTGATGAAGCATGTGCTAGTGAAATGTCCCAAGGCAGTGAGGTTGTATACTCCTGTTATATACAAATGTAGAAGACGAGAGCAATAATGACTGCTGATAACTCAAGTTAGACACTAAGTATTGTTAAAAATACAAACTATCTTGATTTAGACTTTGTCAATATTTAGTTTTTTCCTAAAATCAATCGATCTTTCAACCAGAAGTAATATTCTATGCCTTAGCTTTTAAAATAAGCTATTCACTTCTGATAAAGTTTTAATTAATACATTATATTCAAACTATAGAAAAAATTAGATTATAAGTAGTTTGTTTATATATGTATAGATTTTAAAATTTTGGTAAAGACATGCTGTTATCCATGGTATCCTGTCCTCAGGAATATGAAGTACAATGTGTTCAAATGATACATAATAATGTCATTGAATACTTGGATTTGTGATGTTTAACATGGCACCAGTTACTAGGCAGAAATATGCAGTTGGAAATTGAAGCCACTATAGATTGTTTGTATACCCACTATTTGGAAGGCAGATATTTGAATGTGTATAGTATAGTAGATAATCTGCTACATGTTTGGCAGGGTACACATAAAACTAAAACATAAATGTTGATCTTAACATGATTATGATGTACTCGATTAGATAATGCATCACAAGGGAATTAATATGTTCTCAGATGATAAGAGCTGTGAGAGCCAGGAGCAAATGTTCAGAGTAGGAAGCACTTGTTTCGAGCCAGTAAACTTAAGGAAATCTTGGTAACAGTTACATTCGAGCTGGGTGTGTGAGGGCAAGGGGCCTTTCAACAGACTAAGCGAGTGATGATTTGGCCCAGCACCTGGCTACAGAAATGTGCAGGTGTATTGGGGGAGTCAGGAATACATCTAGGCTGGTGTAAATGTTGGGTGGGGAGATGTTGGAGATGGGTTGAAATCATATTTTTGCCTTTCTTTATTTAGTAGGTAGTGTTGAGATCTCTACTTTATGAAATTACCTGGATTAACAGTCATACATTTGATCATTTATTTTCTAAATTTGTATTGAATGCCTATTTTGTGATGGATTAATTGCTATGAGAGAACCAAGTATTGGTTAGATACAAAGAAATAAAAGTTACACATAAGAAAAGAGAAGTGTGTGGAGAGAGACAGACTTGTATAGATAGGGTTTTCAATATTTTTTCTAATATCTGAGTTAAACTTAATAGTTGTATGGGAATATTCTATTTTTTATTATACCAATAAGGAAACTGCTGTTCCACTGTTGCTATGGTTACTTTAGTTGTTGGTTCACCTAGAGAGTAAATTACCATGGGGAACCCAACCAGATCTTCTGGTCCCAAATCTGTATTCTGATGAGAAAAGCAATACAGTGCTGAAGTCAAAGGAAGACGCAGATGCAGTTGGAGGGGACTGGAACTGTTTTCCAGAAAGCAGAGGTGTGTGAGCAGAAGTGTGGGGACACAGCCCTTGGACCGAGCCTGATGAGGTGACTGGGGGTAGGGGTGTAGAGTGGAGGCTGCTGAGGGATGGCTCCGTGAGTGAAGGCAGGCTGTCCTTGATGACTGGGCTGCATGGGCATGCATGCCTTTTACAGTGGCTCCACCATTTGAAATATAAAACTATGATAACAGGTTCTCCAACAAATTACATTGTTAGGAGGATTAAATAAAAACCTGTGTGAGAAAGAATTTTTAAATATGCGAAGTGCTTTTGAAATTGCAGTATGGTGCACCACAGATAATGTTTGAAGTAGATTTGACTTTTCCAATTTGCTTATAGATTGTCTTTTTAGAGATATGATATCATAGTTGTTGGGCTCCAAGGGAGCAGTCTAAGGCCTTTTGGTCTGTAATTTTATTAACTTCACTTTAACATTAATTTATTTTCCCTATAAAGAAAAAATGTAATAAAAAATTTAATACTGAACTCTAGAAATGAATCTTCCCAAATCTTTTTCACCAAATAGCCAGTTCCTCAAATTCCTGAATTGCAAGATCAGAATTGGGAAGTTAGAACTGGATAGCAGCTAAAAACTTCTGATCCCACAGGTCAAGTGTGACATAGCTGAGGTTGTAGGGGTGACTACCGTTTCTAAACTGTCACACGTTCCATGCAAAAGTGATCTCTCTACATCTGCCAGATTTCCTTTAAATATTCAGACCAAGTAAACAAAGATTTTCCATGCAGATAGGGACAGAGACAATACAGTCTTTGATACTTCAGTTGACATGAATTGATTATTTTTTGAGTTTGATGTGTATGTGCAATAACTATATTATTACTTTCGCAGCCTGAGAGTAAAATAGAGTATGGTCTTATGTATTGCAAAGACTAGAAGAGTTTTATGACTATTTCTTGTGGCCACCATGGCTCTTTATGTGGCTATCAGCTCTAGGGAAGAAGGACTGCACTTAGCTGCACATTTTAGGATCATATGTCCTCCTTTGATTTTCAGTTTGTGAATCTACTTTACTGTAGCCACGCTTGGGTTGTCCAAATGTCAGTGTGGAGTGGACAACCTTGAAAATGCCTGCCATCCCTGGAGGCTATTGGGATGGGTGGTGGTCACATAAATCCTCGAATCCATTGGCTCCAAGCCTAGACTTCAGATGCCCAGAGAAATAACTACAGCTCTTCCTGCTGGTCCATTAGTGAAATTACCCACTGCAAGTCCTGTCTTTGGGCTTGCTTTCTGACACAGAAATCAAACATATTCTCTCCAATTAGTGACAAAGCATATGTATTGTTGTTTTCCTTGATCTACTTTGCTCTGGTATATAGCCTCAGGCAAGCTAGATTTATGGACAGGTTAAAAAACTTGTCCCTAACATTTGAAAATTTTCCCAACTCTTCTGAAATAGCCTGTCACTTTTTAGAATGTTAATAATGAACCAAATGCTAATGTTAAAATGATTGTGGAAGTTTTTTCAGATTTTTTTTTTTTTACCAGGGATCGAGCTCACGACTGCACACGTGCAAGGTGGGTGCTTATGCTGCTTAGCTAAATCCCTAGCTCCTTCAGAAATATTTTTATTCATGTTATATTCCATCAGTCTCTTAGCTGAAACTAGACATTTTATTAAAAACCATAGCTGTCACCTTTGGGGAGGAAAATCTCTAGTCTTGCGTATAAACCTTCATTGATCAGAAAGATAAAACCCTGTGACTGAAATCCTTTGGTTGATTGGAATGGACCCGCTGGCCACCTGTCTGGGTAGACGACCTTACTCTACTCCTCTGTCTTCTCAGAGAAACAGTGTGCGAGTGCGTTTGGGAGATGAGTTAGGAGGAGCTGGTGAGAGAAGGGGAGAGCTGTGCCAGGTGTCCAGAGGCTGAAACTGTGAGGAAGCAACCTGTCCCACATCTGTGCAGTGGAGTGATGGAAAGCACTTTTAGGAAAGAGGTTAATCTTTTCTCACTGTATTGCTGTTTGTAAAGATACATACAGAGGTGCATGTATCTCTCTCTCTCTCTCTCTGGCTCAGCCTCTGCCTCTATATCTGTATCTGTATCTATATCTATATCTATATCTATATCTATATTTTTGTCACCTCAAATTTAAGGAGAGACTGCAACACGATTGCTCTTCAAAAGGAAGACCGAGGTCAGAATTGCTTGTGGTCTTTTTCTCAAGCGTCTACTTTTTAAAAGACTGAAATGTGGTAGTTATAGAAACTGTGAAAAAAGCACTGGTAACATAAGTCAATGTGCTACAGATTCCTAGGAGATAGGAAGGAAATAGGTCATGAGAAAGAGCTAGGAGAGAGCTGAAAACCACTGAGGATGCCTCACAAAGCCCAAAACTTTGGGTCAGCAGATAGCAAAGTAGGAGTGTTTCTTTCAGCGATCAAAGCATAAATTAAAAATGTACAGTAAGGAAAATAAGACAATTAGACTTGTAATTTCCATAAGGAGGGCATATATCCTAGTAAGGGTTATAAATAAATGTAAAATATGTTATTATTGATGGGAAAGGAT